GTTTACCTTGCAGTGTCTAGCTGTAACATGGCCCCTTCCTTACCTCTTCTCTACTATTTAAAAGATATTTGAAACCTGTAACAGTTTGAAGCAACTGTGAGGTCTGGACAGAGGAGGGGTTTGTACAACCCTTTTTCTGTGTTAAATATGTAGTTGGTAATGACCACTCTACCTGCTAATGTCTAATGCTGGACTAAAGGTCCAGCTATAGTAAACCTAAAACTGCTGGAGAAAAAGGACAGCAGTGCATCTTGCCTGTTAAATTCCTCGTGAAGTTCCTAGTGTGGCTGACGGATAGTAGGTCTTTCACTTGCAGTTTTTCTGCCATAAAATGTACACAACCCCAGCCTCGGCTGCTCAGTAAACTCTGTGCTTCCTAAAAGCCAAGAGTGTACAAAGACCTTTTAACACACATGCTCTGTAAAAGTCCCATTGTGGATTCTCATGCTTTGCTGATAAAAACAAAACAAAAACCCAATGTGAAACAATAGTTTGAAGAAACGTACTCATAAAACTGAGTAAAAATGGCTCTTCGATATCTGCTTCTTGGAATGAGCTCAGCTTTCAGGATGTGACTAGCTTGTTGTGGGAAAGCTACATCTCATTGCTTGGAAACAGAGTTGTTAAGGGCTATCTGTTCCAGAGCTATGCATTTATTTGACCTCAGATGGGACAGGATTTTAACTACAGGGAGTTTTCCCCTCATGTATAGGAACGGTGTTCATCCTGAGACTATTCACAGCTGTTTTGGATCTGCAAGTAGAAAAGTAGATTCTACAAATGACTGAAATAGATACAACTCTTAACATCACAGGCATGCTATTAAATCAGCAGTTTGTAGATGTCTACAAAACTGGAACATACCTCTGCGCTCTCTTTTTTGATTCTTTTCAGCCAGGAAAGAGATTAAAATGCTAACAAATCTAGCGAGCTAACACACGATTTACTTCATTGCTGCTCTTACTAAGCAGAAAGTAAGGCAGGGTGGGTACTGTAGAGACTAGTACTTGACGTATGAACTTCTATAGGTGACAGCCAGCTCAACTGCAAGAACTCAACAGCCTATTGCCTATGAATTCCTCTCTAAATCAGTTCAGTCTCTGAAGTGCCAGCCTGCTCTACCTTCAGCCTGACTTCTGCACTTTTATTAAGGGCGATATGAAGAACCGGCACTTGGTGGATGGGTCTAAATTTAGCTCCTTGTGCTAAGGAAGGTTTACTCTGTAAGCATCTCTAAAGAAATCAAACACCTTATTTGAAAATTTTAATCACTAGTAATGCTACAAGTAATGCGTGACTACTAAAAAGGAGACACACAGCCCAGGCAGTCTGTCATGTATTTGATGGTGCTCTACTCTGGATCACCATTTACCCCTTTTGATTTTTAGGTCTTACCCAAAGCAAAAAGGAAGAGAGAGGTTGTTTTTTTTTTTCAAATGAAGCTTGTTAAATGACAGTTCGAGTCTGAATATGCATTTTCTGATCACTGATGATGCAGCTCTTCAGAACTTGCTTTGATCTAAGTTACCAGATGAAGCAAGACCTTGGTTCTCAGAACAAATTGCCTTAAACATTCAGAGCTGAGGTCAGTTTTCTTCTCCACATCACGTAAAAACAACGGTTGTGCATTTCACCACTGCATCTGCTGTCTGATTTCCTATTTAGCACCCAGAAGTGAAGAACCAGACTGAGGCACCAGATTTCCTTCATTTGTAAGGAAATGGTTCCAACTGCCTGGAAGTGGCACATCAGTAGTTACTGTGAGGTAGAGGAGTGTCATCTGCTCTTCAGGACCTACCTGTACTCTTGCTTTTTTATGCCTGTAGGAGATGAAAACTCACTGCTCTTCCACTTGAGGCTGAACTACCAAGTGGTAGCTTTCATCCACTGTGGGGGAAAAAGCATATGCATGGGCACATCATGAAACACAGTCCTATCCTTTACTTCATGGCCGCTTCTGGCAAACTCAAGGATTCACCTTGGGTCTGAGAGGAGTTTCGTCTCCAAGCAGACCAAATATCACCCCCCACCCTTTTTTGTTGTTGTTCAGAGTACCCAAGGTCAGTAATTCCCTGGAGCTGACAGTTCCCTGAAATGAAGTATCCTGGCCAGAGGTCAGGTCATTCCCATGCACTCCCAGTTCCTCTTCCCTGTCGTAATGGAAATGTGAAGATATCAATTTGTAAATTTCAACAAAAATTGGAAGAAAAATGCCGAACTTTGAATGCGTGGTGCTGGGAATTAGCAGCTGTCCATTGGGGAGAGCTGATGTGAGTAAACTCTGTAGTAGGGAGTAACCAAAGAGTGTACTGGAGTGACCTGCAAGCTCTGAGTGCAGGTGTGTTGTTTGACACTTTCTTCTTTACGTACATGTAAAGGTGGGGAATAATAATTAGTTTAACTACTGTAACCACACCTTTCATGGTGGTGATATCAAGAAGTCTCCAAGGCAGAAGGAAAAGATGAAGAACTCAACATGGCTCATCAAACCACCACTCAGTTAAATATATAAACTGAATATATTAAAGCTTCGAATTTTATTACAATCAATTCTTTCTGAATATCTTGTCCTCTTCTCTTTGAGAGGAACCTAGACATGAGAAATGGAAGGATAGAGAAGGACTCCACTAAACGTGGAGTATATTTCATCGGAGTCTGTGTAGGCCAGTTTGCCTCCAGTGATGACAATGTTTACTTCATCTCCAGCTTTTAGGTGAAGAACAAGGTGGAAAGTTCCAGCCCCACCACAAGTCTGTTTCCCTCCTCTCGGCTTGTGATATTCTAGCAGTTCTCTTCTGTAGCCCGCTGTGTGGAGCTGAGCAACGCTTGCATTGGAGACCGACAGCACAGCTTCTACATACTCATCTCTCTCGGGAGCTAGCACGGCAGTAATCAAGTAGCGCCCTTCAAAGGGGGATGTGAAGATGCCTGCCAAAGGGAGTGCAGAGTTAGCTCTTTATGATTTACAGAAAATGGAGACTGTCATGTGTAGGGCAGTAAGAAACTAATATTAACACTACAGTGTTATCCAGCCATCTGAACAAATCTGTTAAAGTTAGTGGAAATAAAGGTCCATTTGCTATGGAAATCCTCCCATGTTCTACATGAAGCTGCTGCATCTGGGATGTGTCTAAGGCTGTCAACAAGAGAATATTTTTGTCCTTCAACACCCTTCAAGGGAAGGAAGACTGTGCTCTATGCTACAGCACCACACTGGGTGGCAGAGCTCCAGCCCCATCAGGCCTTGGCTAGAGCAGAATTTATGGGGACAATGTTTTGAGCTAGCTCTCACCCTCTGGTAAATGCCCTCTGAAACTCCAGTCAACAGGACTGTTCTACTGTGGCAGGTGTCAAGCTGAGAGTGTCAAAGTTGGGGGAGTGTCATCTAGATGCAGCGGATGTGTACATCTTACAGAGATTGCAACAAGAGCAGCAGTGATCTCCTCTTTGAGCAGCCAGAATAAGTAGCGGCTCCCAATCTGCAGCCCTTCACTTTACATTTCCTGGTTCTCTAGTGTTTTGTTGTTTGAAACAGAAGTAGAAAATATAATGTTGCAGACCTGCATGAGGCTCTGCTGCAAAATCTCAACTCTTTTGGTGAGCATATGGACACTTACACTACATGCAGATCCAGATATACTCCTGTGCCCTCTGGTAGCCATGCTATTTCTAACTTTCAGTATTATAAGCCTTATGGTACCACATATTCTTTTGTTTGCCTAGCATGAGCACGCTGGTACCATTTGAAATGATACAGCAGTGCTGTTTTCTTATGGTATTGTATGATTAGCTTGCCAGCTTGGACTCCACTCTCTTTCAGTTGTTACCTGTGTTAGGATTATAGTTGTCTCCATCATTCACAAGCACTTTGTTAAAATGGACTACACCAACATCGCTGGGGAAAGGCTTCTGTGTAAGACCAGCTGAGAAAGACACCAGAGAGGCGGTTGTAGTGGTGGGTCCTGGAAGAGGAGAGAGAGCAGAATTCAGATGTACTCAGATGCTGCCTTTCCTTCGGGCTCAGTGGAAGTGGTTTCCAGACTGATGAAAACAGGCAGGCAGGATGAATGGAGCCCACACAGCTGGGTCAGCTTCCAGTTAGTCACCACAAAAAATCAAGGAGTCATGAATTCCCACTGCTGGATTAAGCTACTGGGAGATGATATTTTTGTGGCTGAAAACCTGGAAGCTGGTTTCCTTTAACACCTAGGGATTGCTCACAGTGCAGTGGGGTGAACCCCTGGCCTTACTGCCTTCAATGAGAAGTCTGCAACAGACTTCCCCCCCAAGTTCCTCTGGTGAGGGGCTGTGAGCCAGCCTTGCTGTACCCTACCACTTCACCAGTACAGCAAGATTCCTAGCAGACCTCTCCCACTAGTTGTATTACTACCAGATTTAAAAGGGAGGCTGACTGCATACAATGCAATGCATTTCAAACTCCTTAGCCTCTCCTTGCTCATCACACTCACCAGTGCTGGTGACACTCATAAGAGAGCTACAACCACCCTACTCATGTCTAAGCTCTTCCTTTTGCTGTATCCTATTTGCTATACTACTGTGTTATCCTCAGTGATTTACAGTAGCTACTCGAGCACAGCAAGGCTACAGCCACTTTTAAAATACACTGGTCACTGAAAGAAACCATAAAATAATAAATCATTTATTTTCTTTCAGCTGTTGGTTTAATGCAGTGGTTTGCCAACTTTCTGGACCACCAGCCCACTGTCAGTTTACAATGCATCTCAGAGAACATCAGGCACACTCATCATCCAACCGTTCATTCTCTTACTTGAAGACACTAACAAAGGTGATGGAAGTGAAAATCCTAGGGTTATAAAAGGAAAGTTCTTAACTTACCTTTTATTAAGAACTAATGCAGTCTAGGGGGTGGGAGGGCTGGATCTGATCCACTTACCAACTGCAGACCACCCACTGTGGCCTTGTGTACCACTCTGCATTTGCAACCACTGGCCTAAGGTAAGAGGGCCCAAGACTAACAGGCAAGAGCAGGAGTTCTACATTATGGGCTAAATTCAGTTTTCCCTAAGAAGCACTTACATAACTGTAACTGCAGGTTCTGGCACTTGGGCAGAGCCTGGAATTCTATTTCTACTTGGGAAATAGGAGTGCTCTGTGCACACACTTGCTGCAGAGGAAGTGATGGTAAACCCTCCTTTTAACGCAGTAGCTTAGTAGATTAAGGCACTTACCCAGAGAATAGGAGACAAAGATACTAGGCCAGAGGGACTTTCAAACTTTATCTCCCACTTCCCAGCACATTACTTTAACCACTAGACCACAAGCTAAGCATTGTGCAAGTGTGCTTCCTAACCCTCCCTGGGAAGCTGGCCCATTGCACGTTATATTTCTTATTCATTGGCGGAAGTGGCTAACCAGCACTGGGAAAGTTACTGCCACATTGGGAGCAGGAGCCCAGACTGGAATCCAGCCCCCTCTCTTCCAGGGCAGCATCCATCCCAGTGACCCACATACCCCTTGGCTTCTCTTCCTCCTGGCCTCACATGTCTCCCTATCTTGGCTGCCTAGTGGGCCAGCTTCAAGAGGAGGCTGAAGAATGCTTTATTTTTTGTGATTAGTTTTGGGGCTTGCCAGGCATTATGCATTTGGCTGGGCAATTTTACCTCCCCACTTCCCCTGATCAAGGCATAGTGTGACCTGCTGAGCAGGTTCATTTGGAGTGCTTGGGGCAAACACCTACACTGATTCCCAAACTGCATAGCTGCATCTACGCAGTTACCTAAGCAAGTACCACTTAGGCATGTGAAGGGGGCAATAGGTTGTGGCCCTATATAGTTCAGGTTACCAGCAAAGTGAGTAGTGATTTGCAGTAATGAATGACCAATGTTAATCTAATTTAATTCACATCACAACCCACTCCACTTTTCCGAAAGCTTCACAATTGGATTTGTGCTAGAAGTGGGCTAACATATTTAATACATGAATGCTAACCATTTCACTAATGGTCCTTCTGCAGCTCTGTTTGAGAGAGGATGCACTCACTTCTCTGTGTCGTGCTTCCTACTACTGTGGCTTTTTTTCCTTCACTCAGACTTCGGGGTCTGTTTTTATTTC